TAAATACTTTTTTTTTTTTGGAGAGGATTTTGCTATACAGCGCATGTGCTCACCAGAAAGACGAAGACAGAGAAACAGAAAGCAAGAAATCACCCCCCCCCCGCCCAGGGGGGATGGCCATACCACAATCATTCTCCTCTCGGGATCTTGGGCATGCACGCACACGCGCCCAGTGTGAGTTTAAGCCACCAGGTCCGGAACTCAAACCATGGTCGACTATATGGGAGTCCAGCGACATACCATTATGCCAACAGTTGGTCCCCTTTATTTCCTGAATACTGATTAAAAAATCTTAAGCAGGTTTTGCTAGCTTATACTAACTCTCAATGAAGTGTTGTAGCAAGTATAAGGCCATTGTCAGGCATAAGGTATTAATACAGATCTTCCATTTCCTAATTGTGACATTTTAGATGATCAAATTAATCATTTGTGATTCTTCTCATCTGCAAAGTGACAAAATATCTTACGCAGTGGCTGCGCATCACAATGAGACAATTCATAAATATTACCTATTAATTGGGAAAAACTATACTATTCCTCCTCCTCCCAAAAATTTGTTTATGGGGTATGTGTGTCTCCTGTAGCAAATTAAAAAAAAAAATAATAATAATGATAATGTTAAATAAAATTAAATAAATAATTCTGTTTTTAAAAGAATTATTTTTACTTAACTTTATTTATTATTATGTTCCAGTTTGATTAGAGAGATACAGAGACAAAGGGAAAGTGAGAAAGCGAGATACCAGGTCTGGGACTTGAACCATGGTCAGCCATGTGGGAGTCCAGCTCCTTTAACCATCATTAGCCCCATAAATAAAATTTTTTAAAAAAAGAGTATGCTTTTAAAAAAAATCATTCCTGAATTTTATTAAATACAAAGCTGGCAAAGAGTTTTGAACTATTATCTAGGAAGCTAATGGATTCATAACTCTGAGGGAGTTGAAAATTTTTTTCTAACATTTTGAGTCCACTCAGAATATAAATGAGATGAACCATTTGTTTAGGTTGGGGCTTAGCAGATTCACTCTATATAGAAGAAGAAAATAAATCGAAGGGAAACAATAAACAATGTTTCCTTCTAAGAAGTTTGTCTAGTTCTGTGGGTCTCAAGTGATCCCTAGACCAGCAGCATCAGCATCACTTGCAACTGTGTCGGAAATGCAAATCCTTAGGTCTCGGTAGAGCTATGAAATCGGAAACTA